CAACTCTGTTAGCCCACTTGAATGACAGACCAGGAATGCTGATATTCCTGGACCTCGAAAAAGCCTTTGAACTGGCTAGCGCCCCAGCTATTCTCTGCTGCCTCATTGACAAAGAGGTCAGAGGCAACCTGCTCTCCTGGGCCAAAAACTGTCTCATAAACAGAGAAGCAAGAGTAAAACTTCATGGCACAGTCTCTGAGTACAAAAGACATGAAAATGGTACACCGCAAGGAGGTATTCTTAGCCCTCTTCTCTTCAACTGTTTAATGGAAAGAATAATGAGGTTGAAACTCCCACATCACTGCAGGCTGCTAAACTACGCGGACGACTTTGTCATCATCATAAAAGGAAGGGATGCGGCGCGCCTTGCACTCAAATGCTTAGACTGCATCAGTAAAGAGGCAAAACCGATTGGGATCAAACTCAACCCCTCAAAGTCAAAGGCCATGCCCATAAAAATAGCGAAGCCCAACATCCAACTCACAGTACAGGGTCAACCAATAGAATGGGTCGACACCTATCAGTATCTAGGAATCATCCTGGACACACACATGAATTTTAATGCTGAGGTCACATACTTGAGAGAGCGAACTGCGGCCCGGACGGCAATCCTCAGGTCGCTAACCTCCCTTTCTGGAGGAGCCAATCTGCAAGTCCTTCGCACATACTATGTACAGGCAGTCAGATCAGTGATCGATTATGCCGCACCTGCACTCACAAATCTATCACACCAACAGTGGAAAAAGCTTGAAGTTGCCCAAAACAATGCTATGGGAGCCCCCATGTGGACCAGGCTTGAAACTCTTAGACTGGAGACGGGTTTGCCCTCTCTACAAGAAAGAATATCACAAAGGACAGCTACAATTATCAGTAAGATAATTATTTCTTCTGATCCAATCCCAGTACGGCAGGCTTTGGTGGTTGGACTAAGCCAAAACAATGGAAACTCTTGGGTTGCAAGAGCAGGAAAAGTCCTAAACAGACTACATTTAAAAAACATGATTCTTGATAGTGAGGGTGATCATCCACACCCAAATTACACTCCTTCCGCGCCGTGGGAAGAGCCTACTTTCAAAATAGTAATAGAAAGTCTCCCAATGAAAAAGGCTGCCTATGATCCGACAATCCTAAGGCGCATAATAGAAGAGCAAATGTATAGCATAGCAGTAGCAGGAGCCACCCACATCTTCACAGACGGATCGGTGGACACAGAAAATGAGAGTGCTGGCGCTGCTCTTTGCACGACCAGCGTTCAGGCATATTGGAGACTGGGAGGACTAGTATCATCAACCCAAACTGAGCTGTTCGCCATACAACAGGCATTCGCATATGTGATTGCACAAAACACTCAAAATGCAATCATACACACAGACTCAAAAGCTGCACTTCAAATACTAGGACAAAAACAGTGGAAAGATAATGTGGAAATAATTACCACCATTTTGTATCTTGGAGCAGTCGCTAAAGGCAAAGGCCTGAACATAACTTTAAACTGGATCCCATCCCATATTGGAATCCCATTAAATGAAAAAGCTGATGAAATTGCTAAAGTGGCAACTCGTCATCCAGTGATACATAAAACAATTCAACCCAGCCTAGAGAACATAAAAAACATCATCATCAAAAAACTCTCACATCTCAACAAAGCCGACCTACACCAGAGAATAGCTGAAGGTTCGCCATCTGCAACATGGTATCTTCAGGCAACCAATTTAGAAAGGTTAAATATCCCAAAAGGAATCCACAGGGAAATAGCAGTTAGGCTATATAGACTACGTCTAGGTTACAGATGCAACTGGGAGATTGGTGAACCCCGACAGAGAGAGTGCATCTTCTGCCAAACTGTCACAGAAAAGCCATTACTTCACTATCTTCTGGAATGTGAAGCAACCAATGACCTTAGAAGAGCTTTAAGAGTTCCTGAATCATGCAGTGGCCACCCTGAAGCCATCAACACAGCCACTCTCCTGGTCAACAAAGGTGTCCAGCAGCTGGACACCCTCATAAAGACTGTGAAGCAGTATCCTCCCCCACGATAACAGCTTGATGGTTAAAAGCAACCTTAGAACACTGGAAAAAAAATTGTACCACTTACGGGCTATTCATGCCCGTGCCACCTCTTGGATGGCTTAATCTTTATCAATCTATCAATCAATCTTGATCAGGTCCATTTGGTCACCACTTGGTCCGGGAGACATCTCCCGTCACGCTGGGCGCAGTCGCACCTCCATAGATCTCCAGCATCATCTATTGATACTGGTGATGGCTCAAAAGGGCCACCACTTACGGGCTATTTATGCCCGTGCCACCTTTTGGGTTGCTTCGTCTTCATCTTAACACATTCATAAGGGGGACATCTCCCGCCACGCAGGGCGCACTCGCACCTCCACAGATCTCCAGTACCAGATCCTGACACCGGCAATGGCTCAAAAGGGCCACCACTCACGGGCCACTCATGCCCGTGCCACCCTTCGGGCCGCTTAATCTTAATCAATCAATCAATCAATGAGCACACCATCTGGTCACCACTTGGTCCGGGAGACATCTCCCGTCAAGCAGGGCGCAGTCGCGCCTCCACAGATCCCCAGCATCAGCTCCCGATACCGGCAATGGCTCAAAAGGGCCACCACCCACGAGCCATTCATGCCCGTGCCACCCCCTAGGTGGCTTCATCCCCATCAATCAATTCAATCTGTTTAAATCACGGAAGACATCTTCCGTCACGCAGGGCGCAGTCGCGCCTCCACAGATCTCCAGCACCAGCTCCCGACACTGGTAATGGCTCAAAAGGGCCACCACTCACGAGCTATTCATGCCCGTGCCACCTTTTGGGTGGCTCAATCTTCATCAATCAATCAATCTTGATCAGTACGGGAGACATCTCCCGTCACGCAGGGTGCTGTCGCCCCTCCACAGATCTCCAGTATCATCTATTGATACTGAAAATGGCTCAAAAGGGCCACCACTTATGGGCTATTCATGCCCAAGCCACCTTTTGGGTGGCCTAATCTTCTCTCTCTCTCTTGATCAGTTATTCACCCTTAAGAACATAAGAACATAAGAACAAAGGCAACTGCAGAAGGCCTGTTGGCCCATACGAGGCAGCTCCTATTCTATAACCACCCAATCCCACTCATATACTTGTCCAACCCGTGCTTGAAACAATCTGGCACTGGCACTCTGGCACTCTGCCTGACTCAATTGATTTATTAAATATGGTTGACAGTGGGTCACAAAGCTCCTCTTTGCATTCTTTAAGCACCCTAGCAAACACTTCATCCGGCCCTGGGGATTTGTTTGGTTTGAGTTTTACTATTTGTTTAAGAACATCCTCCCTGGTAACTGCTAAACTCGTCAACCTGTCCTCGTCCCCACCCACATAGACTTGTTCGGCTGAAGGCATATTGTTAAGTTCCTCTTTAGTAAATACAGATACAAAATATTTATTAAAAATACTACTCATCTCTTCATCACTATCTGTTATTTGACCTGTCTCAGTTTTTAATGGACCTATCCTTTCCCTAGTCTTAGTACGATATAACTGAAAAAACCCTTTAGGATTTGTCTTTGCTTGCCCTGCTATGCGAACTTCATAGTTTCTTTTTGCTTTCCTTATCTCTTTTTTAACATTTCTAACCAGTTGTACGAATTCCTGTTCTAAAGTGACCTCCCCATTTTTAATCCTTTTGTACCAAGCTCTCTTTTTACCTATAAGGTTCTTCAAATTCTTTGTTATCCACTTTGGGTCATTAGTATACGATCTATTCAATTTGTATGGTATACTACGTTCCTGTGCTTTGTTTAGAATATTCTTAAATAAGTTATATATTGAATCCACATCGAAATCCCCATTTAAGTCACCTATCGCTGGGTTCATGTCTCGCTCCAAGACCGGCCCACACCCCATACCCAAGGCTTTCCAATCAATTTGACCCAAAAAATTTCTTAGGCTATTAAAATCAGCTTTTCGAAAATCTGGCACTTTAACAGAATTTTCTCCTACTGGTCTATTCCATTCTATGCTAAATCTGATTTCTTTGTGATCACTGCTCCCTAGCTCACTCCCTATTTCGATGTCATTAATTTGCGTTTCCCTGTTAGTTAACACTAAATCTAAAATATTATTTTCCCGTGTTGGTTCCTTAATGTGTTGCGTAAGAAAGCAATCGTCAATTAATTCTAGAAAATCTTCTGCTTCACTATTCCCTGTTTTGTTCAACCAATTCCCTGTTTTGTTCAACCCGTGAATTAGCCCGTGAATTCTGCTCTCGTACTGCTCTCGATTGATGAAGATTAAGCCACCCAAGAGGTGGCACGGGCATGAATAGCCCGTGAATTCTGCTCTCGTAATATTATTCAGGGGATGGGGGAACTATCAAGTGAAAGCGCCAAGCCATTACGACTATATAGCACTTGGAAGGGATCAGGATACGGATTTGGGATGGAACGGGGGAAAGGAATTTTGCCCAACCTTTTGGGCGGTCGGGGATTGAACGCAGACCTGTAGGAAACGAGACCGTCGCTCTACCGTCCAGCCCAAGTGGTTAAGCGTAATATTATGAAAACAACAATTTATGCATATAATAACAGCATTTCACACTAAAAATATTTGGATATATCGAAATTTGGTAGTGAATTCCAATCTAGGAATCTCCTATGACTAAACTGTACTTTTTAATTATTTTTATGTACTGTACTTACTACTTATTATTAAATTATTAAGTACTTACTACTTATTATTAAATTATTAAGTACTTACTATAATAATTTAAATGATAAAATAATAGGTAATAATAAATCATTGTGTAGGGGGACAGAAATAATATTAATAAAACAATTAACATCGTGTAGTGTACTCTATATATCAAAATATATTACTTTGAAACCCATATCATTTACTTAAAAAAATTGGGCTACTCTAATTACAAATTCGCTTCTTTTAGACCGTCAGCTCGCTACTTTCAGCAATTTAGATCTGGCAACCCTGAGCTGGGCCAGTGTTGTGTTGTTGGTGGTGGAGGAGAGGTGTGTGTAGGGCTCCTCGCGGCCCGCGTCTACCCTGGCTCTACATTACACGCTCTCACGCTGAACATGTCGCCCAACGATGAGAAGGACACCCCTCTCCTGCCGTGGGATAACTTCGGCAACTGGGTCCATGCGATATGTGTGGTGACGTTTGATCTGGAGCTGGGCCAGGCCATGGAGGTGAGTGAGAGTTGGTCCCCCACCAACTATTATTGTTATTGTGTTCCAGCAGCGTTTCTCGCCTCGACCTTCACCCACTCGCAGGTGTATGTCTTGGAAGCTTTAGCTGTACTTCACAACCTTCCTCAGTATCTTGGTCCTTGATACTGATAAACTTTACTTCCTGTAACTCTTGGAGCTAATGCCCACTCTTAAGGAATTTCTTAGTGACTTATGTAGGCCAATGTTCTCTACTTGTAAAGACGACAACAAATGCAGGCAATGTATAAATGATAGGGAATTCATTAAGTAATCTTGGCTTGCTCAGTAGTTTTATATTTAATCATTCTGTAACATAAAACTGAAGCATTGTTTTGTTAGGCTCTGATAGGTTCAGTATTTTGCAAAATAACGATCCTCAGAGGCAACCTGATTACAGTACATCATTGACTTTGCAGAGCACATATAACAAAAAATATATTTTTGTTTAGGCTACGTTTGGTTCGGATAAATTTGGTTTCTTTACAAGAAAGAAAATGCGTTTACTTTAAAATAAGGTAAAGTTTCTAGTTAGGTAAAACAACAACTCTTGTGGTCCTTTTTGGGCTTGACAAAATAGATTAAGTACACTTTAAAATCCATTAGCAAACACATCTTATTTGTGAAGTAACCTATCTAATCGACTAAGGCACGTCTGGGGTCATCCTGGACGTAGGTTCGAACTCTCATCACGGCCCTTGTGGATTCATTAACCTACATAGATTTTTTGGGGGGGAAGGGGGTCTAATACGCTTTCCGTATTAGATTAGATTAGCCAGCTCTATGTTTGGATAAATGTAGCTTGGTAGCTGGCAGTTCTACCTATACTGCACACCACTAGGCTTTCATCTATTCATTTATATTCCTGTTCTTATATTCTTGTTATGTTACATATCCGTATACAGTAACATTATCTGGTATCCAAATAGCCCATTTCATGCAAGCCTAGAAAACTGAAATTCCTCATTGATAAGTATCCATAAAAGATACATCAGATACATTATGGATAAACTGTACCCATAAAAGATCATCAGATACAACCATATCATGTCAGTGACACATCACCCACCTGGCACAGTACTGTATTATACTGTATATAAAAAAAATACCACCATTTTTTTGTTACATTTAAAAGAGTAGCTATGACGGCACAACTTCACGACTTGATAATGGTCCAGGATGGACAGAAACGTCGTCATTTCTTCATTTTCTGATCTGTATTTGGTCATTACTGCTCTCACTGATGTACTAATCAAAGTACTGTATCAAACCTTATTTTCCTAGTGCAAGTGCAGTACGACATTTCATTTGGTTAATACATGGTGATTGCTGAAGGCATTGTCATTTTTGTTGTAAAATTATTGTTGATTTAGATACCCATACAGTAATATAAAGATCCCGGTAGTACAATCAGGTTTATTCTCAATTCACAATAGAGAATTCTGGGTTTGAATCCCGGGTGGGACAGAAATGGTTGGGTACATTTCCTATCATATAATGCCCCTGTCTACCTAACAGTAAATAGGTACCCAGGAGTTAGTCAATCTTGTTGTGGGATTGCATCCTGGAGATGGTCGGAAATTTGACCCTGGAGGAAGAGGGGGAGGGCCTTGATATGAGCCTAATGTGTACTGTATGTATAAACTGCTTGTCTGTCCCACAACACAATGAATTATTAATTATACTGTATGTTCATTTGTTCCAAAAACAATATCATGTATGATGTACAGTATGCATCACTTGCATAGTCAGGTTATGCATTGTTATCTTGAGGTTATCTTGTTGGAGCTGGCAGTAGTGAATGAATGAATAACTACTGGCAATGATATGGCAATGATATTGCCATATCATTGGCTAGTGTACCTCTATAAACATAGCCTAATAAGATTAGACAAAAATATTTACCAAGATCTGTTAACAAATGTGGAAATGAGCTTTGTTAGTCCAGGTCTTGCAAAGTACCAAAATCATGAGGGATTGTGAATGGGCACTGATTTTTTAAAGAAGAAGAAGAAGAAGACTAAAGATCACTTGTGTTGAACTATTGGCCAATCTACTTGTAGAAAATTTGTTTGAATTAATAGGGGAAAATGTCATTATTTTACAGCAAGGTCCACTCATGTTGAACAAAATTATTCCTTTTTGATAGCATATATGAAGTAATTATCAAAGGAAAGCACCAAGCTGGGGATAACCTTGCATTATTTTATATTGATTTCAAGGATCAATGTCCCCTCAGCCCAGTCTCTGACCAGGCCTCCTGGTTCCTGGTTGCTGGACTAGTCAGCCAGGCTGTTGGACACCACAGCTTGCAGCCTGACGTGTGTCTTACAACCTAGGGAGAATAGCATATTTGAAGCCATCTGTTGTTGAAGATTGTAACATCATATGCCTTGACATTGACATACCCTTTTATACTCTCTTTCAAAAGACTGATTGGAAAGTTAGAACCATATGGCAGGTATGCAATATCTTAGGTTGTATTAACACATGGATTGACATGTGTTTTTGGAATTTTCAGTTGATTTGAAGATACTACTCTGTACATGTACAGTTTTGTGTTTGGAGACTGGAAATGTGGCTGATTTCAGCATCAGCCTCTGGACATCTTTTACTACGCATTATGTACCATTCTAGGTCTCTTCCCTATGTCAACTTAGTTTCAGGACCATACGACCCCCTTACTACAAAAGAGAACAAATTATAGTACAGTATTGTAGCTCAAATATAACCCTTCATACTGTATTTGACAATCCCCCCCAAAAACTTATATTTTCATATGTACCATGGAACAAATTCTGAAAAAATTATACTATATATTGTAACAGGTTGCACCGCACTATAAAGAACAGCTCGGGCAACTTAATTAATTTAACCAGATACAGCACATGTTCCAAATGTACTGTATATATTGGCATCTACTGTATAATAAATAAGATTGTCCCTTGGAGTTCTTACTGTACCCCTGCTTTTTAAAAAGGGCTATTTTGCACATTCCATCATGCCTCCTGGTCTCATTAAGAATGGTTTCATATTAAAGTGTGCAGATTTGGAACCAGTCCCTCTTAATATTATCCAGTTATAGATTATGAGTAGGAACTTCAAGAAGTATAATTTGAGAGATTTTTAAGTTTTTGTGTTAAGAAAAGGATTTAAATGATGTGTTCTATATCAAAATTATTTAAATCTTCCTGAAAACAAAAGAGAACATATCCCCTTAAATTTTAAGATCACATAAAATAACTTTCATTAGAAAACTAAATATTCTAATTTATATTCCATTTGTTTTGTATTGGATGCCTTTGTTTTCTACATGTTATTGAAGTACTGTATATTGAGGAGGTCATGGCTTTTTTGTGGTCTTGTTCTCCAACGGTGCAGGCACTATAGTGTATCTATAGTATTGAAAGGAAGTGGGTTCGTTATATAGACCATAAAATTTGCACATAGTTATACTGTACTTGTATTGGCGAATTTAATTTAACATACAAGTAAATATGATTATCCATTTGGATACCGGAACCCAGAGGGGGCACGTTATAACCTTCCACCTACATAGTTTGGTTAATATCCTAACAAGTACTGTAATGTATTGCATCTACTTACATTATTGTTATGTGGTTTGATAGTTAAACATCTTGTCCCATACATACTGTATGTGAAGCCTTGTTGGGTATTTTAGAAATACCTGTACAGTATAGTATATGGGGTGGGAGGAAGATAAATATGATAACGTCAGTAAAATTCTTTTACATGATTTGTAGAGCATGTGTATAGGGGGTATGGCGGCCTGTACACAATTTTATTGTTGAGGTGGGCATAAGATGGGGTTGTGTAATGTCTCCTTGGATCTTTCATATACGTAGTACAGTTGGGTTTGTTCTTGACTCACAGTTGGGAATTCCGGGTTCGAATCCCGAGCGGGACAGAAATGGTTGGGCACGAACGTTTCCTATTGCATAATGCCAATGTTTACCTAACAATAAGTAGGTACCCAGGAGTAATCTGTTGTTGGGTTGCATCCTGGGGAGGGTTAATAGTCTGACCTTGGGACCTCAATATAAGCTTAAACAGGTATATATACACAGTCTAAATGTGGTCAAAAGTTCGAATACTCATTTTATTAATTATTTATTTTATATGTTTAAAGAAGCATTGATTGGTCGGTAGATCTACGACCCCTCTCTTGTGCAGGATCGACGTTAGATCCCCGGCGGTCCAAATGGTTAGGGACCGTTTATTTGTCCGGCTTTAGCGGTCAGCACGGTCGCCTCCAAAAGTGGCAGAGTCGGATTCAACTCCTGGTGGAACCTTTTTTTTTCCAGGAACCGGGTGGCCTGGAAAGAGACTGGGGCGCGGGGACGTTGATCCTCGAAATCAACAACAGGTAGTAAACTGTTCTATCCGTCAAAATCATCGGGAAGGCAACACCAATACATTATTTCCGTATTTTCTCTTTAATTCCCTTATCTCTGAATCGTTAAGAAAGGGCATTGTCTAGAAGACTAAATAAAACTTTTTCCCACTTTGCGACTCCAAAAAGAGTAAATGGTGCAGGCGACGTCTTGGACCACAACTTTTGTCCACTTTATTGTTATGTTTGACCGTGATCACATGACAATTGGTCAAATTATCGATACTGCTAATACAGTGATTATTTGGTCATGGTCCCCCCAATACGCACCCCAGATACGCGTTATAGCATTCCCACACACTGACGTACAGTTCCGGAACAGCTCCTATCCAGACAACAGAATAATGTTTTGTCCTAGACTTGACACTTGCGGGGGGAAACAACAACACGGTAGGTTGGAACTGTGTCAAGGTAATAGGAATTACGGTGGTTGAACATTGAATGCTGTAATGCGCAGATAATAAGACTAGCGCTTTTGCCTTTGATACGCTAGTGTGGTAGCCACTTACACTGAATAGTATTAATTGTTCTCTGGCAGTTTTATCTACATTTGACCGCACAGTAGGCC